CGGCGGGGGCGGCGGGGGGGGGGGGGGGGGGAACGGAACTCCTCCGGCAGGATTGCTAAGTCCTGGCGGAGGGAGACGAGATAAGACGCATCACTCCTTTAAAAGGACGGGGGAGCGGAGGCTCGGTGGCGACTGACCCGTTTTAAAAAGTCCGCCCAAACCCTCCCCCGTCCTGATTGGTCCGCGCTCCGCCAGCCGCTGATTGGCCAGCAGCCGCTGCTAAACCCACCCCCCTCGCGCACACACCCCCCCTTTCCCCACCCTTCGGGGGGGGGGGGGTTGTTTACCGGCAGCGATTGGCCGCCGAACGAGAGCGGGTCTCTCCGGATTGGTCGGACCAGTTCTACCTCTGCCCCGCCTACAGTTGCGGGCCTTAGCAACCGTGACAGAGCCGTCGGGTGCTGTGGGTGCTCAACGGCCCGAGCCCAACCGTCGCTCGGCTCCACAGCAACGGCTACCGGACCCGGCGGGGCTCACCACAGGCCAGCGAAGCCGCCGAGAAACACTTCGCGTCCCCACAGCTCCCTTGTGTTGTGATAAAGACAAATGGTGACCCGCTGCCCCGAGGCCGGGGAGGGTTATGTGTGTGTGTGTGTGTGGCCTGAGGTAGCTCCGATCCTCAGGGGTTCCTGTGTGGAACCCCTTCTCCTCATGCTGTTTCTCGAGGGTTCCAGACGCCTGTCCGGCTTTAAAAGCCCCATTTAAAAGCTTCGAACCAAGAGTCAAATGTACGTAGAGTCTGGTGTTTCAGAGCTTTTGGGATGTGCGCTTCCAAGGTTCTCTTTATAAGCACCGTCCGTTTGTGCGGAGTGTGAATCCGAGGCCCGATGCTTCAGGTGGAAGGGAGATGGCGAACAGGCGAACAGCTGGCAGCTGCGCTATCGACCCCCCTACCAGATCCCTAGTCAGAGGCTGCATCAAAGAGCTGCTCAGCCTGCAGCTGAACGGAGCCGTAATGACAAGATAAAACAGGATCTCGCAAAATAAATCATCGTCTGGAGGATTTGTGGGGCTGTTTCAACGCGTTCCATGTTCTGTCTATTTTTCGTGGACAAACACAAAGGAATAAATGTCGTAGGACAAAACCAATGAAACCACAGTGACTCGTGATGTGTACATACTGGAGACAAAAGTCTGTGGTGGCGACTCGAACAGATTAGCATTCAGTTTGATCTAGTGAGGTTCTGCAGTTTCAACAAACAGAAAATGTTTATTAAATGTCGCAGTCTGGAAAAATAAGCCGCCTTCTCTACAAAACAGTCAGGGATGTTGCTATGCCAATCTCTATTTCTAGGCACAGTTCTTGTCTGCTATGCCAGTGATGACGGCCAACAATTTCTTCAAGATTATTTTGATGACAAGCGCTATTAGATTCCCATAAACATGCACAACTTTTCCTCGCGATGTTCCTGACACAGGCCAGTGCTCCTGTAGGTACCATCGGATATATCTGAGCACCCTTAAAGACAGCATCCCTGCGAAGTGAACAAATGGGCATGCCGACTGATTTTTTGTGGGATAAAAGTAGTTTTAGGCTCTGAAGCAAGAGTTGTGGACCTGCTCCAGTTTGAACAACAATGATTACTGTTAATGGAGTTGACTTCATACTGACTCCTTGCAGTGGCGTCATCTAGGTGATGTTTACAGGATGAGGCTCTGAGCTCCATCCTCTGTTATCCAAATGCCCTTGGCCGTCGCCGCTTTTTTTTTCTCCACATTCTGAAGTGTATCCTGCCATCACAGAGATGGAGTATGGATGTTCTTCCTCCTCCGACTGCTGTATTAAGCCACATAGTGGAACACATAGTTTCTGTTTACCTAACCGGCAAAAAAGGTTCATTTTGTAAACACATAGCGTGTAAATTCTAAAAACACTAATTCCGACATCTACTTGAACATATACAGTGCTTTCTCCTTACTAATTTAAACCTAATAGAACACTGCAAAATTATCATTCATATACCATGTAATTTGGCAGGGGGAAATCTGTTACAGGAGCACGGCTCAACAGCATTTTCTCTGCAGCCTTGCAGCAGAAGGGCTCATTTTCTACATTAGGAGAGAAGGATCCCTTCCCCATCTTTGTTCCTCTGTAATTAACTGATCTGTTGCAAAGAGCTGAGTAGTGTGGAGAAAAAACCAAAACACTCAGACCCCAAGGATCCTTACTGTAAGTGATGCACTCATCAGCTTTGGGATTATAAACAGGGAAAATTTGTCTGCTCTCTGTGCTGCCTGGACCTGGCAGAACAATCAACTGTCGTGGGCAAAGGAGGAATCATGGTAAGGTCTAGAAAAAAATCCGGGGGGGGGGGGGTTCTTCACTTACGCAAGGAATAATTTTCTTTCAATGTGGCATTTATTTGTGATTAAGGGAAGTATGTATGTGGGGGGAGAAATGAGAAGTGTTTCCTGTATTACAAGAAAACACAATTTATCTGTTCTGTAACATGCTGTGCTTTACAGAATAGCAATTCCTTCCTGACATTCTTTGGGAACCTACAGAAGCAGTAAGTGAAAATAAAGTTATAAATTCCTTAGCTACAGATGCTATAGCACTCATTATTTAGAAACAGTAACGATAGCCTTTGAGGGGGGGATTCTTGAGTTAACACTGAACCAGAAGGCTGGTGTAAAATCAACAAAAAAGGGAATTAAAATGGAGGAAAAATCCATCTGAAATCTTTTGGGATCCTAATAAAAGCAAAGATTTACACTGAAGCCTTAACCTCTGCAAGATAAATTTTAAACTAAATAAAAATATTTGTAGTGATGTGAGACTTTCCAATGCCATCAAATTAAATAGGTATTATTTTAACTAGCCTTGCTAAACTATCTTCCAATACGGCTTGGCAAAACTTGCCCTGGCACGCCCACATGGCCACTGATGGGGTGTAGCGTTCGCCGCATATCAAGGTGCCGCGATTAGATCACTGATCACCCCCCAGACCAGGGAAAGAGACAGATAACACACACAGTGTGAGCGCCAACTTCCGCCTTTTATTGCGCAGTCAATTCCTTTTATACTAACAAGGGTAGGTGGGATTACAGACACATCATAAGGCTGCGACTAACCCTCTAACTTTCCGTGACATCGCGAGATCTTCCGAACGCCGAACCCTACAATGGGGAATACTTATGGATGGCTAATAGCTGTGTATTGACTAGCAGGTGATGGTATCAGAGGTGTTAATTGGGCCTTGTGGCATGTGAATTTCCAAACTGAAATTGGATTACAAACCTTCATGATTAAGGGACACGCGGTAATTAACACTCTAGACACAAGCAGTCTGCCCACTTGGCAATTGAACACCCAGGTAAGAACAATAGGGGTCACTTATAACAATAGTTTCCTTTGAACCACTTAACCAAAGAGCTCCACATGCTTTACAGCCACTAATTAATCTAAGTGCCCCACTGCTATCCCATTATACTGGTAAGGAGGACAGCGGGACCAGGAGAGCAGCAGTGCTGAAAACTGGAAGGCAGAAGTCAGAGAGTTGTGACTCTCTTCCCATAAGACCAAACTGCTGCTATATGATGATTAAGGACTTAGCATCAGGGGGGAAAAAAATGTGTCTAGTTCGGTCAACATCCTTGTCTTCTGCAATGATGGAAGAGACAACAGATCATGCGTGAATTAGGATTTTCTTCAAACATAATTCAAGCTCATTTGAGAATATGGGTAAAGTTCAAACATCAAGAGAGCCTGCATCAAACGAGATTAGCCCTAGAATCCTTTCCTCCCTTGAGAGCTGCTTATTCTTTCATAACTCCTTAAGAGGCATCACATGAAAAAAAAAATCTGTTTTAATTAAATGGGATGATTTGACAGTTGGGTGTTTTCTGTTTAACTGAGCGGAGTAGAAATAGGCTCTTTAAGTAAATAAAATAACATCAGTACATACATTTTATTTTTAAACAGAAATATACATCTTAGAAAACACATACAAAGACTACATACAGAAGTATATGTACACATGCACACACATATATATATGTATCTGAGAAATATTTTGTAGATTCTGTTGCTTTAGAAGCAGTAGGACCAGCGCCTGGTGATGAAAGCTATCAAAACTGAAGGCTTTGCACAGGCTTCCCCGCACCAGGCCCTTTGTGAAGGAACAAGTCTAGGAGATTAAATGATTCGTAAATCCTCCAGAATTTAAAACTTGTTCCCCTGATGGAAGCCCCTAAAGGAGAGCGCCATTTGATCCTCTCATAGCCATAGGAGTAAATGTCCCCACTGGTACAGCTCCTGTCTTCGGTACAGAGGAGTGTAATTCCACACTTCTCATCTTGTGTTCATGGAAGTTGGTCATATTCAGAATTCATAGATAAATACATTTATTAAGATTTATTACGTGCCTCCAAAAAGACGGAAGGAGAGCAAGTCTTGCTGATCAAGGATTAATGTAAATATGAGCTTGGTGTTGGAGAAAAGGTTCACTGGCAACACGAACAAATCTAGAGACAAGCAAGGACAGCGCACGTACGTCTGTCTCGGTGACCACACCCCGAGCTCAACATAGCTGTTGAAATTAGGAAGGGAGGGTGCAGAA